TAAAAATGTTGTCGGCATTAAATAACCCATTGTGGTTGATATGCCGTAAAACAAAATAAATCAAACCAATCTAAACCAAAGTATACATATTCTATTCATACGAATCTATCCTAAAAATCTTGTCGGCATTAAATAACCCATTGAGGTTGATATGCCGTAAAACAAAATAAGCCAAACCAATCTAAACCAAAGAATACATATTCTATTCATACGAATCTATCCTAAAAATGTTGTCGGCATTAAATTACCCATTGAGGTTGATATGCCGTAAAACAAAATGAACCAAACCAAACCATACTGCACAAATTTGCAGAACTTGATATTCACAAGTAGTCATAACAACCAGGCCAGACGTTTTTTTTTAACTTTGTTGATCGTATATTTTTACGAGAACCAGTAATTCCACATGATATGGCCGACATTTTGAGTGGATAGCCATATTTAAATAGACGTTCCGCTTAATTTTAAACAGTATTTTATTTGAGCCTATCGGCCTAAATATTCGAGAAATCTTATAATGCTTTAACCGATTAGGCCACGTAGAGCGTCTTCATTCAAGCAAGGTCCTACACTGACTTGCAAACACACCCTTCTCGGTTAGATACCCGAAAGTTCATGACTGCTCGATTTTATATCCGAGAAGAAACCAAAAGAATTTCTAAAGAAGTTATGGATATTTTTATTTCTTAATCCCACAGATTTTTATGACTTTAAACGTTATTTTTAGTGAATGCCAAGCACGTCGGGTCTAACGACGGTTTCTCCTGCAACGGGTGACGCAGGTTCGAATCCTATTGGAGGATGCCTTTTTCTGTAATTAGATTTCTCGAATATTCAAAGTTTACGGCAGAGGTTGTTAAATGGGCAATCCATGTTACAATCCAAAAATACTTTAACAAACTTTGGGGCAGGTTCCTGATTCTACCGTAAACTTTCTTTAAACTTAATAACTCAAAAACGAAGGATTTGCGGATTATATATATATATATATATATATATATATATATATATATATATATATATATATATATATGAAATTAGGACAAAGTCCGACAATTATTTTAATGACATTTTTATGTTTATACATTCTTTTTTATAGATACAAATATTTAAGTAAATGCTCTGTTTATAATAAACAGTATTAAACAACATTTACCGGCCTGAAAGTCCGAGAAATTCTCACAGAAAATATTCCTCCCAATGTTATATATATATATATTGTCATCCACAGATATAATGTTTCGCTGTCTAGGGAAATTAAAACCCAACCACCCCTAAATTAAAATAGAATGAATTTTCCTTAACCCTAACAACTTTGTATAATTAAATTTATAAATTTAGATTCAGTTTTGAAACATGGAAAATTTTCTATGTCGCGATGGAATCATATTTTTAAAAAGAAAATAATTATAATATTTTGATCTACTGCTTGTATCTAGCAGGTTTTTTAAAATAAAAATAACTGCTATATATATATATATATATATATATATATACTATGAAATGGACCAAGTCCGACAATTATTTTAAGACATTTTTCATGTTTATACATTCTTTTGATAGATACAAATATTTAAGTAAATGCTCTGTTTATAATAAACAGTATTAACAACATTTACCGGCCTGAATGTCCGAGAAATTTTCACAGAAAATATTCGTTCTCTGACAGGATTCGAACCTGTATCCTATACGGAACCGTCATATAACCTGACGTGCTTTTACCAATTGAGCCACAGAGGAGCGTTTCGGTTAGCAAGATCTATTTTACTGTTTTTAAACTACAGTTCTCCATGATTTTCTCTCATACATTCATATCTGGTCGATGCGTATCCAAATGTAAACGTCATTTGTTTACATTTGAATACGCATCTGTGGCTCAGAAGGTAAAAGCACGTCAGGCTATATGACGGTTCTGTATAGGATACAGGTTCGATTTATATATATTTGGTTGGATTGATGTGAGTTTGTAACCCTGGGTTTCACGCTTTTGCGATCGTCAGACAAAGTACCGCGCATATAATATATAAATAATTATATATATATATATATATATATATTTATATTTATATACACACACTTTTCATATATACATATATATATATATATATATATTTAAATAGGTTTGAAACGGTACAAAAGCGTATTAAGGCATTAAAAACTAGAAATGTAGTATTGTAGGCCATGATAAGTTTAAAATAAAACACACCAGTCGACCAGTTTCGTCCCCTCTCGTCAGAACTGTTAACGGGGAATTTAAATTATGAGGGAAAGAAAAAGTCTGTCATGGGTGACATGAATGAATGGACAGGGAAGGAAAAAAAAAAAAAAATTATATATATTAAAATTATACCAACCAAGCTGCTAGAATCGCAGAACAGCAAGTCCAA